GATTGCCTGAGCCCACAGATTCAAGACCTGCTTGGACAACATGGCAAGACCTAGTCTCTACAATAAAAATTTAAAAATTAGCTGGGTCAGGTTGTACACTCCGGTAGTTCTAACTACTTGGAAGGCTGAGGCAAAAGGATCGCCTGAGCCCAGCAGGACAAAGCTGCGGTGTGTGTGTCACTGCCTGGGAGACAGAGAGAGATTCAACTCAAAAAAAAAAAAAACCAACACTTACAACCTTACAAGTGAGAAAAATCCTTCTTGATTTATTTAAATTAAATTAAAGTACTTTTTTTTTGAGTGAGCCACCACGCCCAGCATAATTTAATTTTTAAAATATGAAACACTTCACAGATATACATGTCAACTTTGCATAGGGTCCATGCTAATCTTCTCTGTATCGTTCCAATTTTAGTAAATGTGTTGCTGAAGTGAGCACTTGGATTTCTTTTAGAATTTGAAGATGCACTGGAATTGAATGTATAGTTTTGTGTTTTATATATTTCCTTTTTTGGGGGAAGAATCTGTTCTTATATTATTCTCAAAGTAGTTCAGGATTCCAAAAGATTAAAGATTTACTACTTGGAACAAGAAAGGAGAAAATGTACACACCTTTGTTAGAAACCACACTTCATATTGTAGTCTTTAAGTATATCTGTTTTAATTTGCTTGAAGGAAAGGGCTGAGAGTAATTTGCTCTGGAATATTTTCTTTTTTTTTTTTTTGAGTTGGAGTCTCACTCTGTCACCCAGACTGGAGTGCAGTGGCTGTTCCCGGCCACCGCAGCCTCGACCTGCTGGGCTCTGGTGATCCTTCCGCCTCAGCCTCCAAGTAGCTGGAACTACAGGCGCGCACTACCCCACCCGGCTACTTTTTGATTTATTGTAGAGATGAGGTCTCACCAAGTTGCCCAGGTGGGTCTCGAACCCACGGGCTCAGGCAATCCACTCACCTCAGCTTCCCAAAGTGTGGGATTACCGGCTGAACCACCAAGCCCAGCTTGGAATATTTGCATAATTACCAGTTCTCTCCTGTGAAGAGAAGCTGCAGAAACAAGAGATTTCCGTTTGGAGATAAACAACATTGCCAGTCCAAGACCTCACATCACTTTTTAAAAATCCCCCTTCCTTTTGCCATTTACTTAAAGTGATATAGATATAAAGCCTCAGTCATTATCATACAATGTGAAAAGTTTAAAGGCTCAAATCATCTAGGAGACCTAGTAACATACTTGGAGAGTAAGCATGTAGCAGTGACTGCTAAACAGTTATAGATTATTTATGCTCTTCTGTAGCCAAACAGGGTAGCTAAGAAACAAGCAGACATGAAGCTGTGTGTTCATTATCAGTGAGAAGGGAATTCTGAATAAGCAAAATAGTGCTAAAGTTTTTTGTTAGCAGTTTAATAGTAAACATATGCTGCATGTTCTTTATTTTATTTCTTTTCTTTTTTTTTTTTTGTAGATACAGGGTCTCACTCTTGGAGTGCAGTGTTGTGATCATAGTTCACCACAGCCTCAAACTCCTGGGCTCAAGTGATTCTCCTGCTTCAGCCTCCTGAGTGGCTGGGACTATAGGCATGCGCCACTATATCCAACCTATTTGTTTGTTTGTTTGCTTAGAGTTGGAGTCTCACTCTGTCACCCAGGCTATAGTGCAGTGGCATGCTCATGGCCACCGCAGCCTTGACTTGCTGGGCTCAGACAATCCTTCCGCCTGTCTTCCAAGTAGCTGGAACTATAGACACACACCACCATGACCGGCTTATTCTTTGGTTTATCGTAGAGACAAGGTCTCACCAAGTTGCCCAGGCTGATCTTGAACCCCTGGGCTCAGGCAACTTTCTCACTTCCACCTCCCAAAGCTTTGGGATTATGGGCGTGAGCCACCAGGCAGCTGTAATATTTAAAACCGCAACACCCACTCTGAATCTCCCCTCCCTTCTTTTCTTCAGAGCACTTATCCTCATCTGGCATGCAATATATTTTAGTAATTTATCTTATTTATTATTTGCCTGCCCTACCTAGACTGCAGGTTTTACAAAGTCAGGGATTTTTGTCACTGCTGTATTCCCAGTGCAGAGGGTGATGATAGCATACACTAGGCTCTCAAATATTTGTTAAACAAATGAATGACTAAATAAACAAATAAAATTTTCAGACTAAAAAAAAAAAAAGGAAATTCATATAGAAAAATGGGCTGGGCATGGGGGTTCATGGCTGTAATCTCAACACTTTGGGAGGATCACTGAAGGTCCAAGTTTCAGGCCAGCCTGGGCAACATAACGACATCCCATCTCTACAAAAAATAAAATAAATCAGTTGCCAGGCATGGTAGCTTATGCCAATAATCCCAGCACTTTTGAGTATGCCTCTGCACTCCAGCCTGGGCAACAGAGTGAGAATTCTACTCAAAAAATAAAAATAAAAAGAAGCCAGGCTTGGTGGCTCAGCCTGTAATCCTGCGCCTTTGGGAGGCTGAGGTGAGTGAATTGCCTGAGCCCGCAGGTTCGAGACCCACCTGGGCAACTTGGCGAGACCTCATCTCTACAATAAATCAAAAAATCAGCCGGGCGTGGTAGCGCGCGCCTGTAGTTCCAGCTACTTGGAAGGCTGAGGCGTGAAGGATCGCCGGAGCCCAGCAGGTCGAGGCTGTGGTGGCCAGGAGCGGCCACTGCACTCCATTCTGGGCGACAGAGCGAGACTCCAACTCAAAAAAAAAAAAAAAAAAGAGAAATAAGAATGAATGAACGAACGAACGAATGAATGAGTAAATAAATAAATTTTATAGCCAAGAAAGGTCTCACTAAGAATAAAGACGTGATAGGGAAGCAAGCCATTTGGATTACTGAAGGAAGAGAATTCCAGGTTGCAGGAAACAAGTGCTGGGACTTGGAGTGTTGAAGGAACTGCAGGAAGCCTTGAATCAGAGAATAGGAAGGAGGAGGAAGAGAAGTAGGTGACGATGTCAAAGAAGTAAGAGAAAGTGGGGAGCAAATTGTGTAGCCCCTAGGAAGCTATGATAAGGTATGTAAACCATCTTAGGATGTAGTGCAGAGGAGTGCATTAATCTGACTTACTTCTTTTCTTTTTTTTTGAGTTGGAGTCTCACTCTGTAACTGAGGCTGGAGTGCGCAGTGGCATGCTCATGGTCACCCCAGCATCGACCTGCAGGACTCAGGCGATCCTTCCGTCTCAGCCCTCCAAGTAGCCGGAACTACAGGCGCGCACTACCACGCCTGGTTTATATTTTTTGATATATTGTAGAGATGAGGTCTCACCAAGTTCCCCAGGCATTCTTGAACCCATGGACTTGGGCAATCCCCTCACCTCGGCCTCCCAAAGTGCTGGGATTACAGGCTTGAGCCGCCACACCCAGCCTGATCTGACTTATTTCTTAAAGAGTCCTCTTAGCTCCTGTATTGAGAATGCCTTGTAGAGGGGCAAGGGTGGAAGTAAGGAGACCAGTTAGGAGGCTACTGCTACTGTAATAATCCAAAGAGTATATAATGGAGGAGACCAGGGTAGTGATGAAGATGATGGTAAGTGGTTGGATCTGAAGGTAGATTTGCTGATGGATTGGATATTAGATGTTAGAGAAACAGAGAGTCAAGGCTGACTCTAGAGTTTGGGGGCCTGAACACTTGACCACAGTAATTTAACGAATTAGAAAAAGAGCAGGTTTTCATATACCAAATTTAAGATGGTTTTTAGACATCCAAATGAAGTTGTCCAGCAAGCAGTTGGACCTGTAACTCTGGAATTCAGTTCTGGACTAGAGAGAAATTTGCAAGTTCTCAGTATATAGTTAGTGTTTAAAGCCACGAAACTGGGTGAGATTAAACGTAAACAGGGAAGAGAAAATGTGTCCAAGAACAAGCATGCCAATGTTCAGAAGTTGGGGAGAAGAAGTACCCTCAAAGAAGACCAAGGAAGAGCAGCCAGTAAAGTAGAAGGAAAATGAGGAAAAGTCCTGGAAGCCAAATGAAAAGAAAAATGTTTTTTTGTTTGTTTGTTTTTTGAGTGGAAGTCTCATTCTGTCGCTCAGACTGGAGTGCAGTGGCCACTCCTGGCCACCGCAGCCTCGACCTGCTGGGCTCCGGCGATCCTTCCGCCTCAGCCTTCCAAGTAGCTGGAAGTACAGGTGCGCGCTACCACACCCGGCTAATTTTTTGATTTATTGTAGAGATGAGGTCTCACCAAGTTGCCTGGGCGGGTCTCAAACCCATGGGCTCAGGCAATCCACTCACCTCAGCCTCCCAAAGTGCTGGGATTACAGGCTGAGCCACCAAGCCTGGCAGAAAAATGTTTTAAGGAGGAACGATAATTGCACTTAATGATAACACCCTTAAGAACAGTTTTAGTAAGTTCGATTTGATTGGTAGAGGTATTCCTATCATAAGCCCTTTTCTTAGGATTTAAGCTCTATGGGTCAGTGACTCTACAAAACTGTCTGTTAATCAGGTAATTATTTAACAAGTATGTGTTGATTATTTCATCATTTTTTTCTCTGTTGTGCATGTTATAGATTAAAAAATTGTGTTTTGAACTCAACATGAATATACAAGTATACTAGTTGAAGGATTTATATATTTGTAATGTATGTATGTCCTTTGGAATGCCCATTGTAAGAAGTGAAAACAATAAACAAATTATTTTATTACTTTTAAAATTATTTTTCTCCTCTCCCTCCCTCCCAAGGTCTTGCTATGTTACCTAGGCTAATCTCCAACTCCTGGGCTCCAGCAATCCTCCCACCTCAGTCTCCCAGAGTGCTGGGATACAGGCGTGAGCCACTACACCTAGCCTTTTTTTTTTTTTTTTTAATATGTTTGGAGGTTTTCAAACTTAATGTTTATAGAAAAAATAAAATTCAACCCAAGTTCATAATTCTGAGACCTCTTTAAGTAGTTATATTGTGATACCAGGAAACACAAGAGTTGACAATATAAAAAAAGGTTTCATTTCTCTGATGAAAATATCTATTGTTCTTCTTTATTAGAAATTCATTGAATTTGAAGATTCTCAAGAACAGGAAAAAAAGGACTTACAGACCCGAGTGGAATCTTTAGAATCTCAAACAAGACAACTTGAACTCAAAGCAAAAAACTATGCTGACCAGAGTAAGTAAAAATACTTCTCATAAGTACATATGAAAGAGTGGGCTCTAATAGTGCAATGACTCATCCTGACATTTGACTAGGATTCCAAATATATGCTTGGAATTGTCACCACAGACTCAGATGTGCGTCCTGGGAGCTGGGGATCTCTTTTGTTCACATTTTCACATGGCACCCATGTGTGCAGAAATGACCAAACCAGAGATACCTGCAGGCCTCATTGTTCAGTCTTGCTCTCAACCTTTGTTTGTAATTCGACATTGTCTTATATCTACCATGCAGGTGTGTGCTTTTGAGTCACTTCTTGAAATTTTGATCAAGTGCACAAAGTTCCATTGTTTCTATATGGCTTTGAGATGTAAAAATGTAAGAAAACCTCTAGCTTTGAAGTATGCATAAAAAACTGAATTCTAGGGCCTGGCATGATGGCTCACTACCTAACTGTCCAGGAACAAAAATAGTGGGATGGGTAGATTAAATTAGCTAATTTAACTCAGTTTTATGTCCACATAAAAATAGTAAGAATTATTTTACAGAACACATGGTAACATGGAATAATATTTTCATTAACAAATAAAAACAGGATATGGTACTCTATTCACTACTTGATAGTAGCATAAAAAAAGAAATCAAGCAAAATTTTATAAATCAATATAAGCAAAGCTGTCTACTCAGAAATTCCACTTTTAAGAGTTGATTTGCCGGGCGCTGTGGCTCACGCCTATAATCCCAGCAATTTGGGAGGCAGAGATGAAAGGATTGTCTGAGCTCATAGGTTTGAGACCAGCCTGGACGACTTGGTGAGACCTCAACTCTACAATTAAAAAAAAAAAAATAGTGGTATGCTCCTGAAGTTCTAGTTATTCAGCAGGCTGAGGCAGAAGGGTTGCCTGAGCCCAGAGTTTGAGACTGCAGTGGCCGTGAGCGTGCCACTGCACTCCAGCCTGAGCGGCACAGTGAGACTCCTACTCAAAAAAGCAAAAACCCTGAATTCTCTTTTTTCTTATTTTTAAACATAAAACTGAGGGCATTTGGGGGAACAGGACTTCATTTTTCAGAATCATTTTATTTTTAAAGGATTTAGTATATTATTCTTGATTTTTAAAATAATTATTATTTCAAATGTCAAGGATAATTTTAGCTTTTTGGCTAATGGTTTTCATTAGCCAAAGATCTAATTAGACCTAATTAAGTCAAAAGTAGAAAGAGAAATGACAAGAAACTATATGACCCATTTTCATATCCGATACAGGTAGGCAGAGAGTTTTCTGCTTTTTCCTCCCAGCACTGTAAACTTTCAGATTCCTAGGGGTCCAAGGTGGCCAGGCAGTGACTCTTTTCACATTCCCTGTTAAGGCTACGTGGTGACACTAGCTAGTTAAATACTGCTGTTCATGCTGGAGAACCTTTACCAGCAGGCTTGGGGTGTGTGTAAGAACTGACTGCTTCCTCTACAACTCTGGAAAAGCTTAACAAAACTAAATCAAAGTTCCTGAAAATCTGAAGTCCAAGCTGTCTAACATTTAAGGATGTCACAGAAGTGAGCCAATGGGTGTTTGTAACAGAAGTCAACATGAGTGAGTCAAAATGAGCCAGGTGTCATGCTTTGTATTTTAGGCTTATAAATACCTTTAGTTGTGTACCTTTCCTTTGTTAACATTGAATGTATCCAGTGACTTCTGAAATTCTGCTATAGAAATTTGAGGTATTGAGTGTATGATGAATTCCATAGTGCTTACCCTAACAAATATATTACTGGAGTCATGTTACTATGAGTACCACTCATCTGGAGAAATTGTGGCATTTGCAAGCTTTTGGTACATTTTAAGAGTTGAGCATTCTCTCTTCAAGGAAGAAGAAGAAAATTTAGCTTGATTGCACGTTTGTGTCAGTGATTACATAGTATTTTAGAACTAAACATTAAAGGCACAATTGACAAAACCAGCCTAACTTTCATTGTTTTACATATTGCATTTCTTCTTGATTCCTGAAGAGTACCAAGTTGTTGATAAGACTTTCCTTTGACTTGGAAGGGAATTTTTTTGTCTAAAATCCTTTTATGCATTAAGCATCTTGCTTCTGTGATTAGAAGAAGAATGACCTTATACTTGAAAAGGTATTTTTTTTTTCTTTTCGGTAGAGATAGGGTCTTGCTATGTTGCCCAGGCTGGTCTTGAACTCCTGGCCTCAAGCAGTGCTCCCACTTCAGCCTCCAAAGTGCTGGGATTACAGATGTGAGCCACCATGTCCAGCCTGAAATTGCATTTTTTATTTCAGAGTAACTTTATTTTATATTTTGAGTTAGAGTCTCACTCTGTCGCCTAGGCTGGAGGACAGTGGCACACTCATCACCACAGTAGTCTCAATGTACTAGGTTCAGGCGATCCTTCTGCCTCATCCTTCCAAGTAGCTGGAACTATAGGCACACACCACCATGCCCAGCTAATTTTTTTGATTTATTGTAGAGATGAGGTCTCGCCAAGTTGCCCAGGCTGGTCTCCAAACTGTGAGTTTAGGCAATCCTCTCACCTCGGCCTCCCAAAGTGCTGGGATTACAGGCTTGAGCTACCACTCCCAGCCTATCAGAGTAACTTTAAATGTCTCTTGCATTCAAAGGAGATACTGCTGCTTTTTTCACAAAAATAAAAAAATGAAATGAATTACAAATTCTTTCACATACATGTTAGCTTTTTTTTTTTTGAGTTGGAGTCTCACTCTGTTGCCCAGACTGGAGTGCAGTGACCGCTCTCGGCCACCGCAGCCTCGATCTGCTGAGCTCCGGCGATCCTTCTGCCTCAGCCTTCCAAGTAGCTGGAATTACAGGTTTGCGCTACCACACCCGGTGAATTTTTTTTGATTCATTGTAGAGATGAGGTCTCACCAAGTTGCCCAGGCAGGTCTTGAACCCACGGGCTCAGGCAATCCACTCACCTCAGCCTCCCAAGGCATGGGATTACAGGCTGAGCCACTGAGCCTGGCTCATGTTAACTTTTTTATTACTAAAATTTAAAAATCTTTTTTGGCTTTTTCTAGTAAATGTAAACAAAATGTAGTTGTTTCTTAATTAAGGGAAGTCAATTTAGGAGAATATTTGAGTATCAAAGTTTGTCTTTTTAGCTAGATGTCTGTAATCCCAGCATTTGGGGAGGCCAAGGCAGGAGGATCTCTTTTATTATTATTATTATTATTATTATTATAAAGATATGGGATACAATTCAGGATTAGGTATATAAACATTGATTACACAGGTACCCAGGGAGGATCTCTTGACCCTAGGAGTTTGAGACCAGCCTGGGAAAGATAGCAAGACCTCGTCTCTACAGAAAATAAATATAATTAGCCAGGTGTGGTGATTTGTGCCTGTAGTCACTGTAATCCCAGCCACTCTTGAAGCCGAGGCAGGAGGATCACTTGAGCCCAGGAGGCTGGGGCTGTGGTGAGCTATGATTGAGCCACTGTACACCAGCCTGGGCAATGCAGTGAGACCTCTTCTCTTACAAAAAAAAAAAAGAATTGTCTTTTTCAGTGTCCCATATTTGTTATTCAGTCCAGTGAGTCATATCTAATTCTTTTTGAATTGTCATATTCTGTGGTACTCATCCTCTCATTCTTCTCTCCAAAATATTATCATGTATTCCATTTTAATTCACAGAATTTTTTTAAAAATTAGGCATCATAGCCAGGCGCGATGGCTCATGCCCATAATCCCATCACTTTGGAAGGTGAAGGTGAGAGGATTGCTTGAGCCCACAGGTTTGAGACCAGTCTGGGCCATATGGCAAGACCTCATCTCTGCAATTAATCAAAAAACAATCTGAGTATGGTGGTGCACACCTGTAGTTCCAGCTACTTAGGGAAGGCTGAAATGGAAGGATTGCCTGAGTCCAGCGGGTTGAGGCTGCGATGACTGTGAGCTTGCCTCTGCATTCCAGCCTGGGCAACAGAGTGAGACTCTGACTTAAAAAAAAAAAAAAATTAAGCCAGGCTCGGTGGCTCAGCCTGTAATCCCGCTCCTTGGGAGGCTGAGGTGAATGGATTGCCTGAGCCTGCGAGTTCGAGACCTGCCTGGGCAAGTTGGCGAGACCTCATCTCTACAATAAATCAAAAAGTAGCCAGGCGTGGTAGCGCGTGCCTGTAAATCCAGCTACACGGAAGGCTGAGGCAGAAGGATCACCAGAGCCCAACGGGTCGAGGCTGCGGTGGCCGGGATTGGCCACTGCACTCCATCCAGTCTGGGCAACAGAGTGGGACTCCAACTCAAAAAAAAAAAAATTAGATATCATTTAAAAATAATTGGTAGTACTCTAGGGAAGGGAGGAGGAAATTCTTCACTAAGTATTGAATAAGGTCTTAAGCTTAATTCGATCTAAAAACTTTATTTTTGTCATTAATATTATTTGTCAAAGAATTTCTCCCCTGGGAGTCTGCTGTCTTATTTTGAAATAAACCATGCTGTCCAAATGACAATTAAAGAACTTACAAACTGTGGTCAGTCAAAACTGACCATTCAGATACACAAAGTTAATAACACTAATTTTTTCATGAACTGAGGCTGTAATGAGTCATCTTTTGTCTCACTCTGTCACCCAGAATGGAGTGCAGTGGCCGCTCCCGGCCACTGCATCCTTGACCTGCTGGGCTCCGGTGATCCTTCCGTCTCAGCCTTCTAAGTAGCTGGCACTACAGGCGCGGGCTACCACACCCGGCTAATTTTTTAATTTGTTGTAGAGATGAGGTCTTGTCAAGTTGCCCAGGCGGGTCTCGAACCTGCAGACTCAGGCAATCCACTCACCTCGGCCTCCCAAAGTGCTGGGATTACAGGCTGAGCCACTGAGCCCGGCCATGAGTCATCTTTTATTAATGTTTGGAAGCTACTCCCTTCTTCTGTATTTGAAACCTTTGTCTTTTTCTCCTTTTCTAATTGTTCTTCTCTTTCTTCCTTCTATTTTTCTCTAAGCCTTAACTGGGTATAGTATGAAATCTAAGTATAGCTTAAATTTTTT